GAGAGAGAGAGAGAGAGAGAGAGAGAGAGAGAGACACTAGAATAAAATCGCCTAATATAAAATACATTTTTTTAAAAAGCTTTGTAACTTATTTAATTTATAACCTTAACTTCTACTTTCATGTCAAATTTACGGGAATATATTTAAGTTATATCTTCAATCAAAAGTTAGCAATCAATAATAGCTATACTGTTGTATGTGAATTTTTTTTTATCAAAAATGCCGATTTTGTTCATTCAAAAAAAGAGTTCCTAATATGAGATACAAGGGTTTCTATAAATAATGTAGTATCTAATAATTAGAAAATTAAAGAAAAAATCAAGATAAGTTTTTTGTACATGTTTCTATTATATTATTATACATATAAGTAGAAACAAAAAATTTAAACCGATGAGAACAATCCGTAGCGGTCTAAGCTAGATCACGGGTACTTCTATATAATTGCGTGTGAATTTATATACTATGTATGCAGAATCTCAAATACACGCCGAAATATTTGCAAACTTACAACGCGCAAATTCAAATAAATTACCGCAGTAATATTACGCGTTAAACTAACAATTTTAACAATTTTTTATGCTATTTGTGCATCTTACATCAATTTTGATGTTGAATAACCTATTAAAATCTGTAAATAGTTAATTTTTCATTGCGAAAAATATTACCTTGGCCAGGGTTGAACCTGGATCTCTAGCATTCCGTGCGAGCGTCCTAAACCTTTATTCTTATTATCAAGGCCTTAGTAATACTTTGCAATAATCTGTATAAGTACGTCTATTTTGGTAACGTAAATATCAATTTTTATTGGACTATGAGTATTCAAACCGATAAGAACAAGCTGTAGCGGACTTGTAAGCTGGATCACGGATGCTTCGCTATATAATTGTATGTGAATTTATATACTACGTAAAATTACTTCATTAATTAATGTACTAACTTAATTAAATTAATATATTACATATTAAAATTAATGTTATGAATAGATTATGTACACTGCAAATATTGTAGAAACATTTCATATTACCTCATGAATATGCTTGTTAAAAAGTTTTTAGAAATAAAATATTTTCTTTCATTAATTTTTATTTTTATAGAAAGATAAAGCAGTATATTAACAAAATTTAATTAAAATGTTTATTAAAAAAAATTATTTATTTTTCTGAATTATTTTCTTCTGTCGTCTAGTAAGCCTCTTGCTTGTTTTGCCTGTTTTCTTTGTTCTTGCTCTGCCTTGCTTGTTTTTGTGCTTGAATATCTTCCTCTGGCTCATCCATTCAGGATAATTGCCATACTGATCCCGCAATGTTTTCTTATTATATTTTCTAGCACCTTCTACTTCCATGCGTTCTTCACCTGTTATGGTTGTAGACTCTGCGTCCTCAACTTGTTTAGCCTTCACATCTTCTTTTACTTTTTTAGCGTCGACAACTTCAATTTAGAAATATAATATGAAATATTATCGCATTACATTATAAAATATACAATATTAAAAAAAATTATTACAAGAATTTAGATAAATAACTTAAATTAATACGTTAGCGTAAATTTTACCTGTAGCAATTTCAGTAATATCTGCCATTTCGACATCTTTAGATGCGTTATTATCAATACCAAGAGTCTTCTTTAATCTATCTAACTCTTTTACTGCGTAACGTTCTCTCTTGATTGCTCTGCATTTTCTTTTCCATTTACTGCGTAGAGATTTAGCCATTTCTCACACGTGCGTCGAACAGTCAAACAAAAAAGGTTATGTTACTTCAAGTATGATCATGAACTACTCTACGATGCTTCTGATCAATCAGAGAAAAGAATTTTACGAAGGAATAAAGAACAGACCTACATAGGTACAACAGAGAAACCCGAGTTCAATCGAATCAAAATGAATAGTGAACTTGTGAGAGGAGCCATCTTAGGGCACATTTTTCGTGAGACTGTCGAAATCCTCCGATTACCGTCAGCAGGTAAATTCATTTTCGAACTGGATATTACGACAGTACATATACATTTCGCGACATTGTCGATAAAATCATAGCAGAAAGAACACAATTTATGAATAAAGAAGCAAAATGTAATTCTATTTTGTCAATAAAATCGCATTTTGCTATGTGTTCATATATACTGCATCCATAATTAAGTTGTGGATCAAAAGTATTGATATGCGTACGCATATAATACATATGCGCAAAAAGAACAATAAAAATTTAATATCTCTGCGAAAAATTAATTACCGTTTTTCAAAGAGCATTTTATTATTGCATGTTTATTTGTTTAAATTTGTTAAATTAAAATAATATAGAACATATTTTTTTACTGTTATATCTTTAATATAATGTTTCGTTTTGAACTATATCTTCAATGCTTTGTTTTGAAATATGATATATAATACATGTTGCAATGTATACATATAACAATTTACATATATAACTATAATAACTACATATTTCAATTATTGTCTGAATGAGTTATAACACACTCAAATTTGGATTAATTTTTTAATTAAAAATTACTAATTATTTCTATTTTTTTGTTTAATTATAGGTATTTTCTGCAGAATAAGATGTTGAGTTTTTGCATTATTAATATTACAAAATATATTAAAAATTAATTAATTAAAATAAATTATAAGTTAAATAATGAATGTTTTGTAATTCTTTTTAGTACAGTTACAAGAAATTTTGTGTGAACGTACTATTACTAATTATAAGAATTCCTATCAGATACGTTGAAAAGTACGTCCTTATCAGCTTGTGTCAGTATTATAAATATAAACGTTTGAACAGTATTCTATTCATGTTGTGTGATGGCAGTGTGACAGTGTAGTGTTTTAATGCATGAGTCAACTTGTCTTTTACTCATTGTTAGCGAAATTGTTTGTGCTAACGAATGCTCGACGATGTTCTTGTAAGATAACGAGAAGTAAGTAAATATCACATTGTAATTTGTTAAAAATATTTGAATATAATCGATTTCCGTGTCGTGTGAAATGGCGACTTTAATAAAATGAGTAATTTGTAGAATACTACATTTTGTTAAATTAAATGTTAAGTGTGATATTAAGAAAATTTGTTTCAATACTGAACTTATAATACTTTGTAATAATTTTTTATTAAGTTTGTATCTTATAAAGGCGAGTAAATTAAAATGAGAATATATCGATATAAAATTAAAAATGTAAATTAATTTATTAAATTAAGATATAATATAATAAATTATATGATGTATAACGTGTTCAAATGTGAAATTAAAATATCAAATATAAAAATTGTATTAAAAATTTAAATAGAACTAGATAAATAAATTTTAATAATAATCTTAAGAAAAATTAAATAAAATAGTTGAGAGCCGTAATATTAAAAATAATTTAAATATTATAGATTATATTTTAGATTGCATTAATAACAAATTTATTAATTTTCATTTACATTCAAAATATTAATTTGTTTCTTAAAAAATTCATTCATTTTTTTGATAAACATATTTATTATTAAAAATGGATGTTGTAATAAATTTTTATTAAATGAGCATAGATTAGTTATTTAAAATTTTTTGTGTTTTACTTATGTATATTTTGTTTACTTAAATCAATCGATTAAAAAGACCATAAATATGGTGGCTGTGATTATCATTATCAAATATAATATTGTTACAACAGTATACTATGTGTACTGTTATAACGAACTTATGAAAGCTATAGCAAACTATAGAATACTTTACTTAATTGCAGAAGATGGGAGTGGCTCGTATCTGTTCCAGAAAACTCAGAATTGTGTTATATCACGAATACTGATGATCATTAATACTATTAATAGTAGAGTTGTCTTAATGATTTGTAAGCAGCAGTCATGATTTTTCTTACCTATATTTTGAATATTCATCAGCGATATACATATATTGTACAGTTTATATAAATTATTACTTTTTGTATAATAATATCTTCAAATAATTTAGTTAAAAATTTATAAATAAAAGTAATGAAAAATATAAAAAGAAGAATATAACATTATATTATTAAATTGAGCAATAATTTTTGTGAAAATTTAGTTAATTAATTCAATATCATTTTTAAATTTAATACTTCTATGTGTTGCTGATGTTGCTTTAAACATTAACTTATAATATTTTTTACAATAAATTTATAGTTGATATCTTATATATATTCAAATTTTGCATTTGATATAACTTATTTTGCATCTATTGAAAAAGATTGTAATTATTTTTTAAATTAATTATCACGAATAAAGCGAGTATCACTCAATTAAATGCCCTTTTATGAGTTCAGTCCTTTAAAGAATGATAGAGCAGAATCAATTAAACTTGTTTGAGTTCTTAAATTCGTATTATGTAAGAGCTAAAATTAGTCAGTAGTGCCACTTTGCGAGTTGTTTGAGGTTGATGAACGTTGGTGTATTTCATTAAAACTATTAGAAGAAGCATCGTATAATTAAAATACTTGAAAAATTATAGAATAAACTTGATTATAATATATATATATAATATATATTATAAAACTTATACATATATATTATATATAATATAAAACATTCATATGAATATAATTGTAATTACTACGCATATGATATATAACTTTATATAGTTAAAATGTTATAATAAACTTATTAAAATTCATGATAAATTTATTAAAATTTTATGTCATAAAATTACAAATTTTATTAACAACATTTATAATTCATTAAGTATTATAAATATAATCTTATTATTATATACTATACATAATATAATTATATCTTTTTACAATTCATTAATGACGATATATTTAACCTCTTTTGTTTCAGAATTGATGTTCGAATGCTGCATTTACACACGTTTCTACTATCTACCAATCAAACATTCGATAGATTGTCTGATGTTTCTAAGGAACTAAAAGAACTGATCGAGTGAGTAATAACTGATCCATTGCTTAACTGATAATAATTTGAATTTTTTGCATTAATTTAATCTACATTCTCGTAAATTGATAAAGACTATGTGCGATAATTATGATAAGATAATGTCTCTCTACCAAACATATGTGTTTTAAAGATATTAATAACAAGATATGTATGAATTAAATGCTATCAAAAAATAATTTAAACTGTCGTTATGGAATTTATTAGGCATTTATTTAATAACTACATAACAGGAAGCTTTAAGGAATTTGTATTATGAAATATAGTCTATATACTGGTAATTAAAAACACAAATTATGTATATTAACATTGAAGAATTATTTTATCTGCATAATTTTGTGACATTTAAAAAGTGCATTGCAGTTTTAATAAAAGATATCTATCAGCTTTCAAAGTATTACTGTAGAATTGTCGCTTTGTATGATAAATGTATTCCCGAAAGTAAAATTACGACCAGCAGAAATGGAAAGCCGTCAGTTCGCTTCTTCGACATCGAAAGGACTTATACCGACACTGTTTATATGCACGTTTATAACATGGACACGGACGACTTTCACTGATAACGAGAACACGCTGCCGGAAGCGTTCATGCTTCCGAACTTTTAGATGAGCGGGCGATCCGCGATACTTCGTTAGTATTTCTTCGCGCCGAGATCATTAAACACATCATGATCGAATTGTTCTTTGCTTGTATAATTTTATAAAAATTAATTTAAATCAGGTGATAAAATTGTGTATGATAAATTCAATACCACACGACAAGACGAAGGTGAGTGATAACATTAGAGCGATAGAAAAATTATTTTAATATTGATCAACATTATATGATAATGTTTTGTAAAAAATGTGAAATTTATTATCTTAAACAAAATGTATTTTATAAAAAAGTTTAAAAGTTTGTAACATAAGATTTCAAAGTAAAAAAAAAGAAAATTTTAAATATATTATATAAGTATATATTTTTTGTATTACTATCTTAAACGATAAATTCTACACGTATATTAAAATTGTAGAAGAATAATTAATATATAATTAATGTGTAATTTTACATTTTTGGATCGCAACGTGCAAATTATTTAATTTGATAGAACAAAAGAAGTAAATCTACGCACATACATATACAATACAAATTTAGAATAAAAATAAGAGTACATATTTTCTTTTAATGTAATTATGATGTATATGGTCGTTTAAGATTAAATCAAGCTTATCAATCAGTATTGCAGTGCGTGATACATATCTTGATATATACCGAGTAAAGCAATGATAGCAAATAAAATGCAACGATCCATTATACACTTGCTGACCCGGTTGGCGTGTCATAGTGTCGTGATACAACTAGGTCGCCATGTACACGCTCGAGAGTTCCGGTGTGGTTCATTATCGCGCTCTCCCTAAATTCCCGATGAATATCTCTATATCGTTTTGGCTTTAAAGAATAGCACAGTTATTTGAACTCACTCTTATTGCAATATTATCCCAGGGGACACATTCTCTTTGATTATAATTATTTAATTTATCACGTTGTTGCGAGTTCTTTCAAAATCTTGGTGATTATATTTGAAGTACAATCTTGCTAATCGCTTTTATTTGACAAAGATGGCCAAAGATAATAAATATTACATTATAACAGAAAGGTATAATAAATGAACATTAAGATTTACATAAAAATATACCTACATATATTAATCTTTAAAATTGTCTAAAAGTTAAATTACATAATTTATGAAAGTAAATTATAACAATTATAAGCTGCAAGTGATACATAAATATATTTTACATAGCTTGACTACATATTATAATATTTGACCATTTTTAATTGTAAAATAAATACATAATTCTATTTTTAATATTC